AACGTGCATTATGGCATCATCATGCAAGCGCCACCCTTCCGCACTGCGTCATGGCATCACAGGCAGGTATGTAAGGAGTGGGGTTTGCACCATGGTGTTGTAGTACCCATTTTTTCGTTTGCTCTCCCCCACTCCCAGGGGTGTGTTTAGGAACTGTTTTATTCAGTAAATTGAGTCACACCATGGCTTGGTGGGATATGTGAGCACAGTCTCTGAAAGCTGTGCAAGACAGTATTGCAATGATGAGGTGAAAAAGCTCTTGGGACAATGCTCTTCCAAGGAGGGCAGCCACATACATTGTTCAACCCCCCAGTTTTCCACAATCCCCCTCCTGCAACTCTTTCTTTTGTCTTTCTCACTCTTCCAAGCTGCATTTTTTTTCTCTGTGTGTTATGGGGCAAGATTGTTATGGAGTTTCCTTATCTATCTATCTATCTATCTATCTATCTATCTATCTATCTATCTATCTATCTATCAGATTTACGGCCTATGGTATGTTCAGGAGCTCAAAGCAATGTCCACAGTGCTCCTGCTTCTTATTTTTCCGCACAAGAACAGTGTATGGTTGGTTGGGTTGAAAAGAGTAGCTGATCGCTGGGGTTACTGAGATAGTATGGGAGCAGTGATGCCCAGAGGTGACTGGATAAGAGTGCCTGTACATAGAACTGGGCTGTAGAGACAGGCTAGGGCTAGTGCCCAGCAGTGTTCTTCACAAGCTTCACAAGGATGTTGTCACAGGTGCTGGCATTCTCAAGACCTGAAGGGACGAAGACAATCTCTGTGCCCTGTGAGAGAGATCTGGTGTAGTTTGTGAGTTCCTGGCCTCTATGATGACCATGGGCCTGACCTAAGCAATCTTGGCCACTACACACATGAGTGGACACCTTGCCTTTATTTCAGAGCAAATGAAACATGATCTGGAAATGGAAGACATTGACATCTTGTGAGGGTTCTTTGTTTTCCAAGGACAGAACATACCACAGCGTAGAAGATAACTATACAAAATACTTTATTGTAGCATGCACCTTTCCTAACAATTGGCTGTTGCCCTGGGTTAACCCACCTTCCTAGGCTTTGTAAGTTGATGTAGCCATGTAACTAAGTCTTTGATGGTTAGTCCTTATAACAAATAAAAGTCTTAACGTTTGTAAAGTGGCATACAACCTTTGCCTCCCTCCAAAAGTTCTTGCACTGGTTGGGATTAGATGCTGCCTCAGCGTGGTTACTCCTCTTCTGATTGAGCACTCCAGCTGAGCTCCCAAGCCAAGCTCCAGGTGGGAATCACACCAGTATATGCTGTTCACTGTAGCCTGTGTTCCTGGTAGTTGACTGATAGCCCTCTTGCCTGCCTGTAATAGTTATAAGTTCCCAGACATCACCTCCTGCTTCCTCATCTGCTTGCTGCTTTATTATCTCCTTTTATCCTACACACACCTGCTTTTGTAGGCTAAGGGACTGGGCAGGGCGAGGTTGCCCATGGACATCAGCACATTCCTAAAAATGCCAGGGTGTGGCTCAATTAGCCAGACAGCTGGAATGCTGGTGTGGACGCTTGTGAGTAACTGTGAGTGAATAAATGAGCCCATCTCCTCTCAAGCTTCTGGGGCTGTAAACGTTTACAGCCCTTTGGGAAAAGGCATGAGCTGAGCCTATCCTTGAGGACGTGGGGGTGGGAAGCATTTTTGCCTGGCTGCAGCTGCTTTTCCCAAATGCAGACAACAACCCCAGCTTCATTCCCTCACACATTTGTCCTGGGCTAAGGTGAGATCACTTCCTCATCAAACGAGCTCAGAGATGTCTCAGACTGTTATATAGATGACAGACCCTTTCGATTGGTCTGCCCCGGGCAGGTGATGTATCCAGATGGATTCCAAGGGGCTGCTTGGTGGTTTTCTTGACAATTTGGTGGGCAGCTCCATCTCATTCCTGGCTGACCTCTGGAATACAGAAGTGGCTAGAGTGGTGGATGAGACTGTTCGTATGAGGCATCTGGCAGTAGCAAATCCCATTCAGCTTCTCCATTTCAAAGAAGCTAACTTCAAAAGCAGCCCTATGTAGAGTACATGGTGGTGGTTGATTCTAGAAACGATAAGGGCATGGATTTTATGTATTTATTTATGAATTATGGCCACCCACTCCAAAAGACTCTGGGCACTTTACAACATCAACATATACAATTAAAGCAGTTAAAAACATGACAACAAAATATAACAGCCTGAAAAAGCAACAACAGCAAGAATACTAATAAAACATGACAGAGGCCTGACAAACAACTAACCCCAGCCCCGGGATCTAACAGCCAGGTTTTAAGGGAATTCTGGAACCTCAGGAGAGGGGGCACCAGATGTATCTCTGGGGAGATGCTGTTCCAGAGGGCCGGTACAGCAACAGATGAAGGTTGCCAGCGCCATACGCTCCAGGGAGGGCTGCAGCTAGTGTGCCAGTTAAAATTGGAGGAAGACAAGGCGGGCAATATGCTAACTTGCCTTTACCACTCAACATTACAAACACACATTCACAGCTGTGAATCAGGACATCCGATCACTACCAAACCATCCTGAACGATCATTACAACATGCCTCCCCTATTATGGCTGATGGAAGAGCCAAACCCAGGTCAGCAGATTCCAACCCAGCAGTAATACATGCCAGGTCTGTAAGCTATCCACTATTAAATTCTAGACAACTGTTTTATTGTGCACAGACTTGGCATTTACCAACAACCATTTGATGCCAAGGTTGCCAACAGCCCAGGCACTTGGACCCAAGGAAGAGGCAGCCGGGCCTCAAGAGAAGAAGAAGGGCAGCAAATAAGCAAATTGTGGAGTCCTTCAGATTCTCTGAGCTTGGTTGTTTTCTTCCAGAAGTTTCATTACCTGGCTAGGTAACATCTTCAGAGCTAGAAGGGAGTGGGGTTTGCTCTCTTTATATACAGTAGCTTGCTCTGTCAGTGTTAGTGGGGGTGTTGTTTTCTCCTTGGTAGTTCCTTAGGCTGTTGTTTACTGTTTGATTATCTGTCTGAGTTGGTAGTTCTTTGATTAGGGTATTGTTTACTGCTTGATTGTTTGTCGTGTTGATCCTGGTGTTAATCCCTCCTTATCTGCGTGTTGATTGCTGGCGAGGAGGTGTTCTGGTCTTTTTGTTTCCTTTTTATTGTCTCTTTTGTCTAGAGATAAACAACATTTACACACTATTCTTTTTTTCTGAAATGGCTTGGCAGCCCAACTCCTTCTTCTATACCTTCTCCAATCCATCACCACTGGGATGTGTTCACCCGCTAACTTTCTTCCTCACAGACCTTCACCTCCACTCCCCATTCTTCTCTTGCAGCTCCCAGTAGGCCCCACAGAACAAGAGAGTCTCAGCTGCCACTCCAAAATGCACCTGGTGCTGAGTGGTGTCTGCAATGGGTGACATCTCCTAAGGTTGCATCATCATGTTCTTGTCTCCTCCTGCTCCTCATACTGTTCCATGCTGCCTTCTCCATTATGACTCCCTCCTCCAACCTCCTTTTTCTTCCTTCTGTCCCACTCTACATCCCAGTCTTTCCTTCAAATAATTAATATTTCATTCTCTTCTAGCCTCCCCCAATATGCCTCTCCTTTTCTTTCTTCCCCTGCTTGTAGTTCTCCCACCTGCATCTACTAAATCCACTTGGCCTCCAGTCCCAACTGTCCTGAATATGTCTGCTACCCGGTCCCTTTTCCAAGGAGGGACTCACATTCTGTTTCTCTGAGTGATTTTGCAGCTCCAGTTCCTTCTCTCATACAACCTGCAAGCTCTCGCACTCTACCTTATCCAGCCTATTAATCTCTTCAAGCTACCCAACGTTCACTCTCTACCCAAATAGAGCCGAGGGACTGCATGTCACTTAGATGCCCTGTTTAAAAAATGTATCAGATTAAAAGAATGATTAGGAAGAAAAATCAGTCTAGCACAGGGTTTTTAGCAAGCAGAGGGAGACTTTAAGTGAAAACCAGCATTAGAGAAGCAGAGGAAATGTCAGTATAAAATATTAGCTAGCAAATATTTATATATAGCTAATTTTTGTTCTCCTGAGATTTTAGATAAACTGAATTGTTCACATCAGGATGGGATTTGGGAAATCATTTTTAAGGTTTAGACAGAGAAGCAAAATGAGGAACTGCTTTTTCAGGATGGAAGAGACCCATACAGATAGTTTTTCTGGCCAATGATTTAAGTCAGCTTTTTGACCTTTCACAATATAAAAGATAGAAAAGGAAGAGATCAGAAATGGTGGCCCCAACCTTGCAATCAAACTCCTGCCCTTTTTTAATGAGCATTGTGACATCTTTGGTGCAGCTTTTTTGGTATAATTGTGTGGAAAGAAATCCCTCTTAATTCAATGGCACAACTCCTGAATAAATGTCCATAGACAGGAGCTTCAAAAAGGTAGCTAGTTTTTAAGAAGCTTCTGCAGGAGAAAATGGTGCTCAGGAAATTGTAAATTAGGCACCTGCGTGCTCTTACAAGGGGGCCAATCCCAACTGAAGGGATCCAACAGGACTGAGGAAACTCGTATAACAATGGGCTACAAATGCTCCACCATTTTTGGGCACAACAGGATTTGGGTGTTGTTCTTTTTAATTATTTAAGAATAAAATGCACACATGAAATGTAGATTTTTTTGCAGTTAAACAAGAATTTGCTGATCTGGAATTATGCAATAAGTAGCAACAGTGCAAGGAGAGTTATAGTAATCAGGCAGACATTTTCTATTTCGCTGTTGTACTTTTTTAATAACAGATTTAAATTGCTTGTTCATCTCTTTTCTCTTGCACCAAGGTCTTGTTTATTCTGGCTAAACAGATGCTAGAATTCAGAGCAAAGATCAAAACTTGCGGCACTATTACAGGACAATCCTGATCCAGTATCAAATTCCACAATAAATTCTACTAACTCTGGGCTGCTTCCAGGAGAACATACATTGTGAAATCATTAGGTTCAAAAATGCTCTTCTGTGTTTTCCTAGAAGCTCCCCTTTTCCCTTCCATACTGGAAGAAGCTGACTTTCATGGAGAAGGATAGAAGAATAACATACAGTAGGTAGCACTAAGTCTTCTGTCTTTTTAAAGAAGTGTAGTTTTGACAGGGTGCTGATTCCTTGAACTGTGCATATCAAATGCACAGTATGTGGACCTGTGCATGTGATATGTTTGCATACTGTGGTCCACATACTGTGCATTTGATATGTTTGCAGTAGGTACCATACTATATTTCCCATCCTTAAGGAAAAAAAAAAAAACACTTAAGACCCCTAAAACACTTTGCTGTACAAATGATAACATTATGGAAATACAATACTAGCCCTTTATAATATTAACGTCTTATTAAAAATGAAAAAAAATTCTGATCATCCCCATTACAATCTTCTAAAATGATTGTGACTGGAAATAGTTTTCCTCCTCATGCTTACTTGTCTCTCTGGGTATGTATTTTCACACCCACATACATTTGGGTGTATTGATTCACCATTACAGCTGTAATACTTTTTCATGTTATAAACCTAGTTTTAAAAATAGAGCCATAAAACTGGGTTAGCGTTATTTTGAAACGTTAAATGGCAGATAATTATTTGTACCCAACCCATCAGGTCTGAGGGGAGGGACACGCTCCATAAGAAGGCCATTTCCGGGACCGAGGAAGTAGATCTTTGTCCTGGCACGTACCCTTTGGAGTACCATACCATCTGAGATTAGGTTGGCCCAGATCCTGCTGGCTTTTCAGAAGGCTCTTAAGACCTGGCTGTTTTCCTGGGCAAGGGGGTCAGGAGATTAGGTGAGCCCGTGAGGCCTTTTCAT